CTATTGAAGCTAGCGAAGAATTTTTACATGGAAATTGTAGATCTCGTCATCCCCTACAAAATGACCCTATACATGTCCCCCTACGTCCATCCGTTCGGGAGTTATTGACAAAAAACGAAAATTTCGCGAAATCTGAAGGGGTACCCCTTGGAAAAATCTCGGAAAAATCGAAAATTTTTTTTTGTTGTTTATTATTAGCAATGTTCTTCCGACGTCTGATTTCTTTTTAAAAAATGCGTTTCTAAAGTGCATAAACTTTTGGGATTGACTGTATAGCCAATACATCCTTAAGACGATGCGAAACGGAAGCGCGATCGGGTGAAACGAGTACGCGGAACCGGTTCCCCTGAATTAACCCGTGAGAGTTTTAATCGCATCGGTAAAAGTTCGTATCGACTGGATGGAAAACGAAATCCCTCTGGGATGATTCAGAGAAAAATGCTCATACCGAGATAAAATTCCTCTTTCAACTTCTACTTAAAAAATGTAAAGTTAAATGAAGTTCGTTTGAAATTAGAAATCCGATTCCCATGTCAATTACGATTCCATCGAATGATCCAGGAGTTCATTATTAAACTGTGAATTTTTTATGTGAAGTAAGATTAAAATATGTTAATGTGGAAATGATAATATACATTTAATAATGAAATTTTCACTTCATATTCTTATTTTAAAATAAGCCCATTGTAAGTCCCTCTCTTGATACGTTACCCAAATAGCGAGCTACCTTTAGCATTTCTGTATTATTCATGCATATTGAATGCCTTCTGGGACACCCTGTATTTCCTATGGAGAGAATTACTCTGTGAATACAGAGAATCCGCAATCTACTCATTACCGATTCGAAGCTGGCTTCCTGTATCCCAAGATTATCGCGCGAAATCGTATCCCCTGATTCGATCAAGCCACCCTTCCTATCCAGCGAGCAATGAGCCGGTAAATTCCGATCAGTTAATCCGTTTACACGATCGTTCTATCTCAGCCCGTTTAGGCTTCTCAGCTAAGACGCTGAAATACGCTTAAACTGAGCCAGTTTCCGTTTACTTTCGCCCTCGGGCCACCCCCACGGTTTTCGTGGCCGAACAATGGGACAAGGAACCCCGCCTGAGACGCACCTTTCCTTTTCATCCGATCGTTTTTCCGGGTCCACCTGCGCGGACAACGTGAGAAACGAAACGGTCGGAGAGAAAATTCTATGAAGAAGAGGAAAGAGAAACTCATCCGGGCTGTCCTTGAAATTTAATGGTCCGTTTCACAAGAAACACGTTTTCCGTGAACTGCATGTTATTACGAAGATTCTTTGATAATACATAATGTACGTAGCTAAGAAATGTACGATGCAATTTCGATGGCACTGTACAATCTATGATTGAAGTGACATTAACGGGGGAAATTGCGATCATTATTTCATGAAGTGATTTCAGGAAAATGTTTCTGTCTAAAAACAAATCGTGAATCCAATTCATATCCGATCACTTCTGTTCTAACACAGAAGGTAATAAAAATAGATTCCAGCGTTCTATGCCGTGAAATAGAACAGTGAACACTCCAACAGTTTCTAGTTATTCCCTAAACATTTGAAACTTTACTTGAAAGGAAAGTTCGCATTATTTACACGCTGGATTAGAGCTCTCTTTGACGAAAGCGTAAAGGGACTGACCTGTGTAAAAGGCAGTGGCTCGGACGTGGCACCGCAGGCACCGCAGACGCTTTGCTCGACGAGCGTCATGGCAAACTTCTGATGCGGCACGCAGTGTCTCGCGCTGCACATGTCTTCCGCCTCGCCGCTGGCGATGTGTAGGTGTATACGCAGAAGAATGTTCTCCTGCGAAACAATAAAACAAAATGTCTCTTCCTATTATCTGTAAACGACAATTGTTATCCCTGACGTGCATCACCGAGAATAGACGTCCTTCGCGATTCTCCGATCAGATTCAAGCGATTAGAAAGTAAAACTTGATAGATTGCACTTTTTTATGTTAATCCAGCTTAAGTGACTGTTTTTCTATTTTAAAAATTACACTGATCTATCATAGTAGATTTAAATTGGATAGAAACCTTTGCTGTATTTATGATTCAATTGAGACGTCTAAAGTCTCACGATTGTGAAATTCATCTACTAAACTAGAGCAGTGCTGGTTGTAGAGCGATCGGACTAGACTAGATCGGGGATTACAAGGAGTGATGGCCACTTACGAAACATTCCGCGGCGTCGTCCATGAATCCCAGCTGGAACCTTTGCTGATCGAGAAAGCTCTCGGCGAGAGCCCGGCGCAGCGTGTCTGGCGGCAACGCGCTCTCTTGCGAAAACTGCAGCTGCGAGAACAGGTCCTAAAACAGACAAGATGTACGTATTTAATAGCAACGATCTGGAAACGGAACGGCTTAATGACTTCTTAGTCTCTCGAAAACACCGATTCGAATTGTTCGAACGTGTTTAATTCCTGATTAATAGCCATCTCTGGCTATGAGATAATGCGCGCTATTATACTTTTGGAAAAATGGTTTCACGGTTAACTGGCTATCTATGGCTCAAGGTGAACGCTGTTTTATTGTTGTCGAAAGAGTAACATTGCTCGCAGTGAAAGGATTTAATGATGCTGTAGATCACTGTTCATCGTGAATATTATTTAGCACATCAGAAAAACTTGCTTAATTTTATAAATGTGATCCATAACGACGCGATAACGCTGAGAACATCTATTCTGTCGACTCGTGTCTCATTTTGTCATGACACCCGCGAAACGTTCTGATGAATAAGTGCCTTGTGGAGTCGGTTAGCTAGCACCGTTGACAGTGAGCAGCTACTTACACTTGTCGCCAGATACTGTGTAAATATCTCCGTTTGTGGGGCGTCGGTATCGCGTTACCCGCGTGCACGAGGAGATGCACCCTGGCCAACAAGCCGTGAACGAACGTTATGCAATGTCGGATGAAACTTTTGCCCCCGGGGCGAGTAACGATTACGCCGGGTAAATGCCATAAAAATTCATCGCGTTGTGCAACTGATATTTATAATATTTTCATATGAAAAAGAACATTCTGTTTATCGATAGGTGAGAATCATGAATAAAATGAAGTTAATAAATTTTCCAATTGTCGGATCTATAAAAGAATGACTCATTCCTTATTATTCATGAATGCAAAGCTCTGATTTCCATATGAAAGCATATACGTTTTGGGGATGGATTCTTCTCACCTGTTCCTCAATTTCCATGCAATGGAATAATGCATTTATAAACACCAATTAATCAGGATACATTAACAAATCATTCTTTACTCTGTTAAAACCGAGAAGTCCTTGGAACAAGACTTTATAATTAAATTCACTGATAAACAACTTGAACCGACGTGATACCTACGAAAGCAAAGCGCGGACTTGTCCCGGCGCGGACCGAAACGCGAGTGGTTCGCGAACAAACGCAAAAGGAAACTCATAACGCCCAGGCACTCTCAATTTCCCGTTACGTAAGTATGCAAATCGGTAGTATGTAAATCGGATCGCAGACCCGAACGAAATCCCCCGCTTTTATCACTAATTGTACGAGCGCTACGTTTTCCTCCTAATCAGCATATCGTCGTGCCATGAATGAACAGCATTAACAGTCAAGGTGTCTGATTTCAGCAATAAAATACTGAGTGAATGAAAACACCTTCTGATCTTATAAAAAGATTATATATAATTAACGATTTTTATTAATAAAATTCTCGTTTTATATTCGCTATTCCTTGAAAGGCAGCTGTGAATGAAAAAGTGTGGCTTGACTCAATCGATTTCTAAACGTATCCACAGACGGTCTTCCAAACTTGGTTCACCGTCTAGCTTTGAATACGGGGATGCGTTTTCAGAGAGGAATTGTGCAAAGATGCCGTATTCGAACTAAATGCCGAGGCTGGGGGACACCGAGCTTACGGCAAACGAGTTAGTTTCGCAACTAATCCTTCGAGCGATCAGTGGTCGCGCGTAGAAAGCCACGCACCGCTTCGAGCTGCTTGCTCAACGCGCGCCACGGCGTTTCGAGACACGTAGAAAAATGTTAACGAACGGAGGGGGAAAAAAAAACAAGAAGCTATGCAACCGTGCGTCGATTGCGTCGCTTCGATCCTTTGGATTAGCTGACCAATGTGTGTACTTTAATAATTGGTAAATCAACTTTACTCGAATAAATAATTGTCACTCATGATTCTTGAAGTCTTTTAATTTTTACAAATCTTATTAAAAATTGACATCAATTAAGAGAGTATAAAACTCGGTTGATCGCGAGTGGTTGAGTGAAATTCAATGAAAGTCGTTCGATGAGTGGAAGTCAAGTTGTATTGACGGTACAGTGGCTCCGGTCTGGAGAGTCCACGTGCGAGTCTATGGCGAGGATGTCGCACCTGTTGGAAGAAGCAGGTTACAGGTCGAAAAAAGCAGCCTCTGCCTCTTTCGATACCGCATTGCTACGTCAGTGAAATCAGTTGAATGAAAGCGATCCTGACCCAAGACATACAACACTCCCGTGGGAAATGATCAAGAATTGATCGATCAATCACATCTACCTGATTCTTTGAATGTACAGTTTTTGAAATAATATATTTAAGACTGCGATTTCATGTGATTGAGAAATCGTGAATCAAATTGGAATCGTTAATCATTGCATTTGTGAAGCAGTTTTTCGTATTCGGAATTGTAGCAACAGTAATTGTTATGTTTATTATGTTAGAAAGGAACTGGGAACTGTTCTTAATGGAATTTGAAAGGAAGTAATAATAGTTACCAGTAATACACAGAATTGATTTATAGAAAATCATTGCCCTAATTGGCCGTGCATTTAATGATCAGGGAAAAAAACAAGATTATTGTCTCTTGAACAAGAGAAAATAAAATGAAAATATTGGTATGGGAGTTAAAATTGCTTGTGCAACGATTTAATGATTCTTAATCGATACCTGAAGAAGTTCTAATTGCCATATACACTCGTATAAAACTCGTATAGACTCGGGAAAAATAGGTGGAATCGTAGGGATTGAAGAATTTCTTCAAGTATTACAAGCACAAGAAATTGGTCACTAACGACATTTTAAAGAGCAGCTATTCACCCATGTGTACCGCCTCAAGTGCTTTCGCGCGCAGTGCCACGCTATAATTCTTATCGCCAGAGCCTTAATGCGTTTTGAAGATGCTGTCTCGAAGGGAAAGTGTCCATTAATTTCGATCGAGGACGCGACAATATTTAAATTGCGATTGAAGTTTTGAGTTTTCACGACACAGGAAGAATTATCTCCAAAATGTGTTATCTATCGAAATTTCTGTCTATGCAGTTCTGACAGTGCAAAAAAGTACATCAATTATCATTTTTCTAGCGAGGCGCTGATGCAATCGCTAAAAGAAACAGTTACGTTGATTTACGATTAGCATACTTTTCGCAGATCGTTCAGCTCGATGTTGGACGGAGTGTCCTCTCTTTCCATGCCGCTGTCCTCCTCCTCTTCCCTGGCAGCTTCCACAACTTCAACCTTTGCCTCCTCGGCCTTCTTCTCGCGATCGACCGGCGTCGACGTCGTCGACGCGTCCTGCCGAACTTTTATCCACTTCAACATTTTCCTGATGTCACTATCTTCAAGAGAAACTGGCTACGAGTGACTATATTTCATTCCGCTATCGTATTCTCAAATCCTCTCGAATTAATATTTTCTTCTGCAACGTCCACTTTGCAAGATAAAGAACAATCTCCTTCGTTTCATCTTAATCTCACCCTCATAATACTTTTGTTCTAATTTTTCTTATTTCAGAATTACTTCGACATCTTCAAATAGTGGCAAATCACTTTAGGAATAGTGGCAAGTGCGTGAGGCGCGAAAATTGCGTTTGAAAATCGTGATAAGACTGGGCCTGGGCAAATACAAATTCTCGTTCTCGCAGCGAGATAGTTCTGTTTGCTGTGTCCACACGCTGAATTCGTTAGTCCACTCCGGTGCTTAATCCGGTCTCTGCACTTGCCACGTAGCGGGACGCCCTTTGTGTCGAACCCTTTTTTCTCTGATAACGTTCTTCCTGTTTGCACTGTACCTGTGCGTCGATATTGTCTGCCGACTCGCGTAGATAGTATCCCGGGAATAGTCGAGATACCATTTAAATGAAATGCTTCGAATTATTGAACTCCGGTGACGAGATAAAAATCAAATTGTTGTAGCCGATTCATCAGTCTTATAATGGAATGTATCGATGTCCGGTTTCAATGGAAAGTTATGGGCTCGAGGTAATAAAGAAACGCGTGCACGGACGGGAAACAGGTGGCCAAGTCCTGGAAGACAGCCCGGCAGATGATCCCTCGCGAATGCAGAAGGAGGATTCGTATCCAGCGAATTGCATGCCGGATGTAAGTACCGAGGAGAACCCGTTGCCAGACGAGTCGTAGACTCGATTAAAAACATAAACTCGTTTGGTAAGCGAAGTCACCGATCGTAGCTACGCTTATAAGCAGCCAGTGGTTCTTTACTTCCTTTGGCTTCTTCGTTTATGCTGCTGGGAACTGTTTAAATTAAATATTCCCCACCTTTCAACAATTGCTTGGGAAACACTTCGCGGAATTATTTAACGATTAACGTCGTTTTTTTTTTGTTATTCGATGCAGATGATCTCTGGAGGTGTTACGTTCCGTAATCAGGAAGCGTTCAGGGAATGCTCTTCCTCGTTCAATCGGAAACCTCTCTTCCGGGCGTTAACGACTCGTCGCATCTTTCCCTCCTTTCGACTCGGTCCGTTCCACTTCGGCGTGCCACGTGCTTCCCTGACACGGTTTCCTTAAAATCCTGGACGACCAGTTTCCACATTCGCAAATACTCTAATTATAGAGTTCAATCAATTTCCCACGAGGATGCATGTTTCTCTCATTATATTCTATATGCACGTATCCCGAGTAATTGTGAGAAAACGCCTGAAGGGTTTATGTCTTCCTGTCTAGTAGTCTTATAGATTTGAGTGTACATCAAGTAAAACCTGTTATACTCAATAAAAAAAATCTCGTTCCCTTTCAGTATTTAAAATGCGACCCACGTATTTATAAAAATCCTTATGCACTATTTCTTAAACATTCCACTTTATCCACCATAACTCACAAGATTAATATTCACCCGTTTCTACTTATTTTACACAGACATTCTGAAGAAGGTTTAGTCCAGAAGTTCGAAAGCTTTCACTGGTTCACTAGTAGAACTGAACTCACAACATTGTATCCAAGGCTCAACCCCTCTGTTCAACGTTCCACGCAGAGGGGGATGAAACGTACGGTTCGATGGCACGAGGATTGGCCCGAAGAATTCGTGGAATCGTTCGGGACCGAAAGCGT